GAGAACGCTTGCATGAAGGCCCAACCGTTCGGATGAAGCTGGGTGGGAGCCAAGTTAAGTGTTCTCAGTACGCCCATATGGAAATTAGAGAAGGGCAGAAGAACCTTCAAATCCTTGAACATCGTGGCATAAACGTAGAAGAAGTCAGTGGGGTAGTTGCCCCGACCGTGGCAGACACGCTCGGTCATCTGACAGATGGCTAGCTTGAAATGCCTGGCGTCGGCAGCCGACTTGACCAGACAGATGTGGTTAATTAGATTGCGGAAAGCTTGGCGATTGTAAAAAGAAGAGGGAAGTTGCCTAACTTCATGAGGCACCCAGTCGTAGCCAGGAACAGGTGGCCAAGCTCGGGGTTTCCCATCCCAGGCGCCGGTTGAGTCCACGTGGATGGCAACTTCCTCAGGAGCATCACTATCAACCAGGAGATCGGAGGAATTCCCTGAAGGTGAGGCCCTAATGCCGGGACCGGTAAATGCAGCCAGGGATGAAGATGGACTGGCGTTGTCATCGTCAGCATACCCCCTACCCTCGTTGCCGGAGAGATCAGAAGACATGGTTACCTGAGGCGTGGAGAACGAAAGGAGCAGAGGAGGATTCAGAGGAAGGAGAGGCTGACGACGGCGAGGAGATTAAAGTAAAAAATTAGGGTAAAAGTATGGGTATTTATACCAAGATTACAACCGACTCAAATGGTATATCCAAAGCGTCAAACGTCACGAGATCTGACAGTTTGAGAGACGTGACGTTTCGGTGATAACAAGATCTGACGATTCAGGTGGTAAGACGTTTCGTTTTTTCATATTTCCCGCCTAAAAAGTTACAGTCGTGACTTTACATTTCTCACCAGAGCAAATGTTAGTGTGTTAAAGACTTGGTTAGACAAAGAGAGAGAAAGGCCGAACGGAGGTCACTTCAAAACCCTACTCAAAAGTATTTTTGCTAGGGCTTGGGGGACTTGTGTTACTACCGAGGGCGGACAACCGACCGGGAAGGTTTGGACAAGGCCGAGCGGGTGGAAGCAAGGCTAACAAGTACGATCGGGTGTTCCAGCCTGATATGTCCGATCGGAACTCTTTAGCACAACGTGTCCGATCGGGCAGATGTATAAAACTGTGGACTGGAGACAACCGTTGAATGCTCATGAATGTGTAGTTAATGAGGTAACGGTCATTGTCGAGTATTTAAAGTGTGCATTGAAAGCCATTAAGAGGTAAATTAATGGGTAATATTCTCTGAAATCATATAAATAGCAGTCAAAGGGGAAGGTAAACTCTCTGTTCTTTGATAATTATATAGACTTGCAAAAGCCCATTCTGACTTGAGCGTCGGAGTGTTTTCTGCAGGTCAACCCATTTGTGTGACGAAGAGGTGCGAGGAGTGCGAAGGGAGAAGGACCGATCAGAGAAGGAAGAATGTTTCCGGACGAAGGTAGCAGGAACTTTCCCCGGTCCCATTCAACAGAAACAGTAAGCAAAGAGTGAAACAAAACTACCTAGAACTACTAAAAAAACTAAACAAAATACTAAGACATAACTATTTTTCAAACATACAAATTTTCACAACTGAAACAGAAGCCAAAAACAGAAATAGAAAAAAAAATTGCCAAATTTTTGTCATACAAAACACATAACACAACAGTGGAAACAGAAAAAAAAAGAGTGAAAGAGAGAAGTGGGCTAAAAAAAAATTAAAAACAAAAAAATTATTCCCCAAAAAGTACAAAAAAAATTAAAAACAAAAACAAAAAGTAAAAAGAGATAAGGAAAAAGAAATCTTAAGTGAAAATCAGTGTGCTATTTTCTGATCCAGTGGCGGTTTCTCCTAAAAGATCTTCAATTGGTGACCATTGACTTTAAGGTCTTCCCAGCTTCTGATTTTCTGATCTCTATTGCGGAAATAGTTTGACCACTCTGTAGGTTCTGCATAAAACAATTCATGATCAAATAAGTTTCATACTTGTCTGAAATTTTACAGCAAATTGACATCCAATAAAACAATATTCAGCCAATAGATCAATACATTTCTGTTTATAGCCTCAATCTTTGTTTTGACACCATGAGCAATCTTTCCAACTTCATCAATATCTTTCTCCATCCTTTTCTTGATGCTTGAAAATAATGTTATAGATCATTTAGCACTATTAAGTTTTGTTTGCATGTATTGTAAATTCCAAAAGAAGTATATAAAAAAATCAAATTTGAAGCATAAACCATAGTTGTGAAAAAAGACAATTTACCATGTTTCTGTCTGGCTATAGCAGCCTGACAAACCCAAGTTAATATAATTTCAATTCCAATACAAAAAATCCTTAAAATGAAATTGATGAAATAGAGATGAAAATGAGAAGTGAAAAGTGAAGAAACAAACATACAGAGATATGCAACCCTGGGATGAGTCTTTTCAACTTATTTAGCGACACCAAAAATGGACGCAATTTCGACGAGAGAAGAAGGCATGACCTCACTGTCAATGACCTACTCTCCCAAGGTCCCGGCTGTCTGCGTCGGTATGATCTGCCTGAATGACGGCCCCGTCCCTCTTCTCAACGTTCCGACCACACTGTGTAGACAAAGAAGAATATGGTAATAATGAGTAAAGATACAGAAGCATAAAGGCGAATGATAGAAGAGAAAAGTACCGAGCAGAGCACAAGGAAAGTTGAGATTTCGATTCTGATTAAGAATATGGAGAGTGAATGTGGGAGGCAGGGTGCTTCGAGGCATGTTTATAACTACAAAAATCATAGATTTTGTATGCTATTTTTGTTTCTTTTTTAAATATTTTTTCGAAAATTTGGTTATTATTAGACCTTCTCTCATAAAAAAACTTAAATTTATTTCTTTTTTCAATTTTTATTATTGGTTTTGTCATTTTAGTTGTTAAATAAGAAATTAAATATTATCGAAACATGAGTTTAAATTATTTTAAAAGTTAAAAAAATATCAATTTCTAAATTTGGTTATACAAAATTTATAAAGTCTTAAGAAAAAACTGATCGTGTATAAAAATAAAATAGGCAAGTTCTAGACTTGAAAATTGTAATGTGTTTTATTGTAATTAAAAAGATAGATTTTTTTAATTAATAAACATATTATTTGAATAATGAACGGATATTTTAAAAATATGTCAAATTTTGATGTAGAGGCTTGTCCTTAATTAACTGTGTGTGTTCTTTTTAGTTATTTTAAACAAATAAAATATTATTAACTTGATATTTATTTATTAAAATAATTATTGAATTCAACAATTTTAGTATGAGGCTAGATATAGGTTTTGATTAATATAATTATGCAGATACATTCCAACAATTGACTTTGATTTTTATTCAGTAATTGAATAGCGTGTCACGTTGTATTAAAATCAATTAAGTCGATACTAATAGCATCACAACATGATAAGCTAAATTTATGTTTGTCTTTTTAACAAATTTTTTTATAACTTTTTTACAACGATGTGATATATTGTGATTGGTCATTATGTTTTCTAAAACATTAGTCATTTTTTACCCTACATTAAAGTATTTCGATTCTTCTCTATTATATGTCTCTTGCACACTGTATCCTTAATTTCAATTTCTTTCGCTCTTTTTGGTATTAAACTATATTTTGAAAATTAAAGAGAAAAATATTTTGTTTTAAACATGTAAGTAAGTTTAATGTTTTGAGAACAAAAATAGTTAAGGTTTTATTGGATAATAAACTAACAAGTTAGGATCTTGAGTGAGGAGTTGGGGTATGGTAGTTATTACAAACTAATAATTTCCATTTTAGATTCATGGTTATATTTTTAAAGAGTTGAGGCTTGCTAGGTATTAACATTATAAGTTGGATCATTATACAACTTAATTAAATTTCAATTTCCTTCTAAATTTAGATATTTTAAATTCAATTTTCATTATTTTATTTTTATTTTATTAAGTACTCAATTTTTATATTTTTCATTTAAATTTTTTATTAATTGGATAGTATGGCAATTTTCGCATCTTATTTATTTATTTGTCTATATAAGTTAATAAATATCAACTTACATATTTTTTAATATATACAGATTAATAAAAAAGATAACGAAACAAAATAACATTATGTCACCCACTTAACTGAAAAATTAAACAAAATTTGACAAAAACAAGTCTCAATTAAAAAATATTTAAATTTAGGAGAGAGTTAAAACTTAATTAAACTAAATTTAGAGTTTCTCGTGTATTAAACTTACAAGTATGACTTTTACAGCTATAAGGGTTTGAGCTGTAGCAAAACACGAAAATGTAGCTTTTATTTATGATATTGCGTTCCTTAAAAGAAATTATAATATTATATAATTTGTCTTGTAGATAAGAGAAATAAAATTGAAAATATGAGCATAATAAATAGAAAAAAGTAATAACATTTTTTTATTTAATATTTTTCTATTAAAAAATATTTATCAATTTTACAAAAGAAAAAATTATAAACCAAACTGCATAACATTATTGATTTAATTTGATTTAAATTTTATATTAAATCGAAACGAAATATTTGGTTTTTATATTTGATTTAAATGATTTTTCAGTATAAGATCGAACCAAAACCCTGCTACGAGCACTCCTCAGTGTTTGTTCTCTCTCTTTATTCCATTTGTCCTCTTCCTCTTTCTTTCGTCTGTTCTTTTGTTTTCTCCGTTAAATTATGATCAGTTATTTCTAATCTCTGAAGAAAAATGTGATTCTAAAAATGCAGTTTACAATATAATTGTTTGCAACCGGTTTCTGATGGACATACGTCGTCGTGATCTGCATGCCGCGACGTATATAAGATGAAAGAATGAATAAAGAAAAAATATTTTTCCTTGTCAACCAAAAAAGCCGGCTTTGTGATGTCTCATACTCTCATCTGATCCAAGTAAATAAAAGAACAAAGTAATGAGATTATTGTTTACAGTATACATTCCCAAACAAATTGATCATTCTATAAAACCTTCAACAAATAACTTGAGTATCATAGAACCTTGGCGGAGGGTCATCCATGGAGTTTCCTCCGAACCTTTTGCCAGACGAAGCGAGCCCAGAATGGTTAAACAAAGGAGACAATGCGTGGCAGTTAATGGCAGCGACGGTGGTGGGTCTACAAAGCATTCCAGGGCTGGTTATTCTCTACGGAAGCCTCGTCAAAAAAACATGGGCCATTAACTCCGCTTTCATGGCCTTCTACGCCTTCGCGGCGGTTCTTCTCTGCTGGGTTGCGTGGGGTTTCCGCATGTCATTCGGTGAGAAAATGCTGTTCTTCTTGGGGAAACCAGGGGTGGCGCTGGACCAGGAGTTTCTTCTGGGGAAAGCGTTTCTGGGGCTCTTTCCCACCGCTACCATGGTGGTTTTTCAGGGCGTGTTCGCGGCGATTACTTTGATCCTCATAGCTGGGGCGTTGCTCGGGAGAATGAACATCCTTGCGTGGATGCTGTTTGTTCCTCTTTGGGTTACTTTTTCGTACACGGTCACTGCGTTTAGCATCTGGTGCCCCGAAGGATGGTTGGCGAGGCTTGGAGTTATTGATTTCTCCGGTGGATATGTCATTCACCTCTCTGCCGGAGTTGCCGGTTATACTGCAGCTTATTGGGTGGGTCTGCATTTCCTCACTCATCTTTCTCCATCTCCCAGTTTATTTAAAAATCATAACTTTTTGAAATTTCCATTTTTTATGAGGAAGATACTAAGACTAAGGTATTCTAGGGTTGTTGAATAGGTGGGTCCAAGATGTGAGAAGGACAGAGAAAGGTTTCCATCAAACAACATGATTGTAGGGCTCGCCGGCGCCGGCCTGCTTTGGATGGGTTGGAGTGGGTTCAACGGTGGTGGTCCGTTCGTGGTGAGCACGGTGGCTTCTCTGGCCGTCCTTAACACACACGTGTGTGCCGCCGCTAGCATCATGGTGTGGGTTCTACTTGACACTTTATACTTTGGTAAACCCACCGTGTTTGGCGCCATACAAGGCATGATCACCGGCCTTGTTTGCATCACACCTGCTGCAGGTACACGCACACACGCTTCCTTTTTCCTATGTTGTTCTTTCTTCAAACATCCACCAACATATGTGAAATGCAACAGGAGTTGTGCAGGGGTGGGCAGCGATCTTGATGGGTTTGATCTCAGGAAGCGTTCCCTGGTACACAATGATGATCCTCCATAACAAGGTACCATTCTTGAAACAAATCGACGACCCCATGGCGGTTTTCCACACCCACGCCGTCGCCGGTGCTCTCGGAGGAATCCTCACCGGCCTCTTCGCCGTCCCTAAACTCTGCCGTCTCTTCTACATGGTCCCCGATTGGGAAAAATACATTGGCCTGGCCTATGGCCTCCAGAACGGTGCAACTGGAGCGGGTTTAAGACAAATGGGCATCCAAATCGGAGCCATAGTTTTCGTCATCATCTTCAACTTCGTTACTACAAGCTTGATTTGCTTGCTGGTGGGGGTCTTGGTACCTCTCAGACTTCACACCGATGCGCTGCAAATGGGTGACAAGGCAATGCATGGAGAAGAGGCTTTCGCTTTGAATAATGCTGACAATGCCAAGTTTGAGAATCTCAACCACAACAAAGTTTATGATACTCAAGACTTTTCCTTCGTTAGAGACCCAAAACCATTGACTCAACTTCAAATGGTATGAGTAAGTCACCAAAAATAAAGTGTTAAAGCATGCATGTTTTGTTTCTATACGTTGTCTTCGATGGCGCAATCATCTTTCTACATCCTGAATTTTGCAGCAATATTGAAAGTCAGTCCTAGCGTTTTGGTTCATGTTCCTGCTCACTAAAATTCGTGTTTCCCTATTTAAATTTGCGTTTAATGTTATCGAACGAGGCTTGGTAGTTGCAGAGAAGATTTTGAGCTGATTTTGATTTCATACTGAAGGAAATTAATTACGATAAGGACTTTAACGCTGAGACTTAAGGACTGCTACGTGTTACTACTCTAAAATGGAGAATGATTTCCATTTATTTTCCGCTTAAAACGGATTTTCCTCCACTTAAAACGGTAATCTTTATCCACTTGTTGATTCTAGTTTAGACAAATATATTTTTGGTAAAACGTAAGACAAAAAGAAGATAGATAAAAAAACTAAGAGAAATAAAGGGAAAATAAAAATTATGGTTTATGTGTTCCCAACTTAATTTAGTATATTGGAGGATGAAATAAGAAATGAGTAGTTAAACTTGTGAACATTGATTTATAAGTGACGTAAAACTATTAGACATGATAAGAACATAAACCCTTAGTTGAAATTCAAGGAGAATGATGTTATCCATAACGAAGGACTTAAGATATTGATGGTTCGTCTTAGAACCTCGTTATCAGCTTAAGGCGTCAATGTTCAATCTTAAGTCCTTCAAGTGACATTGTTAAGGTAAATCTCCTCTCATCCGTGTCTTGAGAAATGGAACACATGAAGTAGATCCACCTCCAAAAGACTTTATGATGTTCAAGTCAATAATGAAAGTTCGATCTTTTTAGTAAGAGAGAATAAGTATTTAAGAGTGTGTATTTCTTCTCAAATACCATGTGTATTTATAGGGTTTTTAAACTTATGGTTTATGTGGTAAAAAGAGATAATATCGAAAAAATATCGTATAACAAGAATAAATATAATGACTTACCATATATATGATAATTAGTAAAATAATAATAATAATAATGTGAGTCTTACCTGATATATCAAATATTATGTAAATATATGATATTAAGTAATATCATGAAGTATTCAAAACACTAAAATTTGGTCACTTATACTATTAATATATGAATATTTGCATAACGAATATATCTCAGAATATCCTTTAACCATTTTAGCTCACTAAAGCTAAATGAGTCTTATTGGACCACGTCACTTAGCATATTTTTTCGGTTGGGTATATACATAAGTCTTATAAACTCGAAAGTTTGATTAGTATATGAGGAAATGCTTGTAACTGACCCTTTGATCGAGTTGTAACTGACTTTTTGTTTGAAAGTGAATTGATTGTTTAGACGAGTTGTGAGTGGTCGTCTTTGACCGTGTTGAGCTTAATGTTGTTTCTTAACTTTTGGTCATGAATTTAGGCTTGAGCATGCCTTGTGATGTGAGAATTGTCGACTTAGGCATGCTTTTGCTTCATGTTGTTGGCTTAGACAAACCTTACTTTGAGATGTGTTGACTTAGGCAAGCTTGACTTTGGGCTACTGAGTTAGTCTGACTCTGATACTCATCTCGACAAGTCGATGTAACTGTTAAGTGATGAAATTGTTGCATGCATAAAAGTGTCTAATTGGTTGTTCAAGTGATAAAACTCATAAAAAAAACTTCACTTCAAGTTTAAGCTAAAGAAATGTCAAAATAATTTTTCTTTTGAAACTCCCACTGTTCAAATAAACAGTTGTTACTCAAACAACAAAGAGGGTTTTAGGTTTAAGCTTGATTCTAAATTTAGCTACTTATTGAAATGATATAGCTTAAGCAATATAACTAGTTATGATTTTCTTTATAATTCTCTTTAGTTGATTCTCTTTCTACTAAATATTGAATATTCATGTAAAATTTAGGTGAAGAAGGGAGCAAACTAATTGTCACTTTTCTAAAATTGTTACAACGAATTCACTATTTGAGTGTATATTTATATAAAAGTTAATGTAATTAAATTGTGATAAATGATATTATATATATATATATATATAAAGTTATTAAGTTGTGAAATATGAAATATATGACAAATGTATAAAATATAATAATTTTATATTCAACTCTTTAAAATAAGTCCACTAAATCATATTTTAATAATAAAGTAATACAAGTTCATTTTACTAGTGATATTTTTGATGAATTAACTATTGATGTATTTTGAAAGATATCTAATACTAAGTGTTGTGAAATGTCTTTTATAGTAATAAAGTGTCCTAATATCTTAATATACGGTTGATAATTTTTATTGCTTTACATAATAGATCAAATGTGATTTTTATATGTTAAGTTATTGTGGAATTAGAATGATGACAATTTAAAGGGCATATATTATATGTTGGTTCATCTTATCTATGACTCAGTTATACTTAGACTTAATTCTATTTATTACAAGAACAAGTGATGCTACCTATAGAAATAATTATTGTAGACAAAGTTGAACATATATATATATATAATATTTTAAGGTGTTATTTGAGAAAAGAAATTAGAAGTAGTTTAATAGGAGTTTCTTAATAGAATTAAAATTTTATTTCAAAAATATTCATAATTAAAATTTCCTTTAAATATTAATATGGATTTCAAAATAAAACTCCACTTCTAATTACGACAAATCACTTAAAATAAAACAACAGAAAAAAAAAACAAACATAAAACATTGTTTAAGTTTTATATAAAAAAAGTACCACTAATTTAAATGTCATTTTGGGATAGTCTGATCTAGAAAGGTGAGTTACACTTACAACTCCTTTATTGCACGGAAAACGGAATATTTATGATAGTTAATTGCAAATGTATATTCAACGTTTTCTTTAACTTTATAGTCATTACGCATTTGTAACGAGTTGATTCAGATATTTTTTTCTTCCAAGTATTGGACACTTAAAAATTGAGATGAGTTGATACAGATAGAAAAACGTCTTATGACAAGTAAACACGATTCTTATGTCACTGTTTTAATTAAGAAATTAAATATATGCCTGTTTTCTAGTTCAGTTGAAACACGTATAACTGGAATATATAATCAAATTGAATAATATTATTTTGACTCTATAAAAAAAATAAAACCTTTTGAACTAAATAATACTAATATTATTGTCTTTTCATTTCTGAATCACGATTTTGACTTCAATTATTCTAGTCTTCACATCTTAAAAAAAAAATCTATAATTTTAGTTCAATCCTTAAGTTCATACACGCTTATTACTTATATTTTAATTTAATTAGATTCTACATTTAATATTTTTATTTAAAGTGTCATTGTGAAATAAATAGATAGATAAATGAAAGGTTAAAGATTTTATCAAAATTGTATACTTTGTAAAACTAGGACTAAAATTGAAAAAAAAAATGCTAGAAAAAAATAGAATGGATTAAAAATTTATTTAATATTGTTTCCTTACTCATTCGAGTGTCTTACGAAAAATAAGCATAGTCATTGTCCTAAAAGCATTTGACAACTTTTATGAAAACTTTATAAAAATGTAAAATATAATATCAAGAAATCGATGGACTCTGATGGAATTTTAAAGAAAATATAGAAAGCTAAATTATTTAACAAAAATTAGCTTTTATTTTTTATATTAATTATGATAATATATATTAAAAAAGTAAGTTTTACGTTTAATATTTATTTTCTTAACTCTCTTTAACGTTACTGATGCATGGATTATTTATTAAAAGGCATAATTTTCCTAAGGTAGGAAAATGTAAAAGTATAGAATTTGATTTTGAAGTGTAGTTAGGTGGAAAAGGGTTGATACTATTTGATTAGAGAGAAAGACACAATAACGCGTAGCAGCAAACAGTTGAAGTATTCTTCACTCCAAACAAAGAGTCGAAAATGTCAGACCCAACGTTGCAGGTACTGGACGGAACGCAACTCACAGGTCTCGATCTGTCCTTAGGCGACGGTTCATTCACCGGCGCTCAGATAATCGACATTGCTCATTCCCGCGCCTCTTCTTCCCTCTTTCGTCTCTCATTACCCGATACTCTCAAAGCCTCTGCTCTCACGCGCCTCCGTACACCAGACGCCGACGCCTTCCGCTCCGCTGTGTACGCCTCCGATAAGGCATCCGATGTTCTCCGAGACTACATCACCGCTGTCGCCGATGAACTAAAAGGTTTGTTATCTTCTTCTGCTCACGCACTGTAGGTAAATTGAGCGTGCGATCGACCTACTCGCGCTGAAAAGTGAAAAAACAATAAACAAAATACTAATTGTTAAGATTAACCGTTTTCTCTCTGGACGTTAAATGATTCCTTTACTGGCTGATGATCGATTGAGTGCGTGATTTTTAGTATTATGATATTAGTTCTCTAATCTCGAAATCTGATCCGTGGCTTTGATGCTTATTTTCTTTTTGCATTCTGTGGAGTATGTCTGAATTGATTTTGTTATTTTGTTCGGTTGAAATCACAGTCTTCTTATTTTCTTCACTAATTCTCGTGCGCGATTGTGTAGATCTCCCCCTGTTGTTATTGTGTTTTTTGGATTTTGTTTGCTGGAAAGACTGAAATAGGTCGAGTGTAGAGAAAATAATGCCGCCAAGCAGGAAAAATATTGGGTTCCCTGTTTGATCGAATTTGACTGAAACTTGACTTGGATAATACTGTTATTGCACTGAACTTGTGGATTAGTTTTCGTGTTGTTTTTTTACGAGAAACAATCGGTTCTGAAAATTCTTATATGAAAACGAATTCTGTTTTACATTTGTCTGCTTGCAGAAAAACCTCTTGTTGTGTCAATCTTGGATGGAAGTACTCTACGTTTGTTGTTAAAGGATGAGGAAGACTTCGCCATGTTAGCAGAAAGTCTATTTACCGAATTAGATGATGAAGATGAGGGGAAAATCAGCAAGAGTGAAATTCGGAACGCTCTTGTCCAGATGGGAGCTGAGATGGGTGTTCCTCCTTTCTCAGGTTAATATTACTTTTTAGTTTGGATTTTGTTCGTTTTGCTCTTTACTTCGGTTTTTGACTTCCGGGGAATCAACTATACTTGTAGTACCTTATAACTATTTAGCATTGTAATTTTGTATGTTCATCTCAAATTGTCATTATTATCAATGATATGATTGTTTTTTTTACCCTTAACTGTGAGATGTAAAGTATAAGATACTTCATTGAATCCTCTTTCCTCTTGATTATTATGCTCTTTTTGCCCTGTCCTCTTAGTGAAAGATATATATCAAATTCCGGTTATTAATTTAGACAAATCGAAATCAAAGATGTAACATGTTTTATTCATGGAACTTTTTTCCTTGCATGAGCAATCAGTTTCAGCTCTATCTGGGTTCCGCACTTTTTTCTTATGCTCCTAAGAATTACTATGATCCGCTTTATGTTAGATTGATAAAGGCAAGAATCATGATTATACATGTCAATCTGGTTCTTTTTTGAAGTGCGAGAACATTTTTCTTCTTGAAGTTGCAATTTTCAGAAGGAAATCCTCCAACTGGCATAAGGTTACGAAATATAATGTCTAGGAAAAGCTTAGAGATTTTAGTTTGCCATGATTAGTCCCCTTGGGCATGTATATATTTCTTCTACCTCTGCTTAGAACTGGCCGAGTTCATTGTTTCCAGAGTTTGCATCACACAGTAACAGACTTTTAGAATGGTTGATGTGATGAATTCTGAAAGTGTATAGCATTTCATTTCTTTAGACCAAATAAAAAAAAGACTGATCCTTTGGATTTTTATAATCGGATACTGACTTCTGCAGTTCTATTTTTTGGCCTCAATTAAGGAGGCTTGCACTTCCTCACAGACCACATATTATGCAACTTGGTTTTGACATTTTGTACTTGTGAAGATGATTGTAATCTGTGTTAATGTCTTATCTTCCATTTGCCAATGTAGAATTTAGCTTGATTGGTAGTAGGTATGTCTGTCCTTTGGCTTTAGAATTCTTAGATTATGGTTCTATTTATCGTAGAAAAAGTGTTGGAAT